TTGATGACCTTGCTGCTGCAGATGTCAAGGGATCTCAAGTCTATATGGCCTGGACAGTGAAATGTGATGAATCAAACAGGATTTTAAAGAGAACTAGTGACAGCAAAAGTTTTCAGTGGAAACTATTTTGAAGAAACTGGCTAATTTGTCTAGTATGCATCAAAAACCTTCACAGTATATCTAGTTCTCTCCAATAAACCTGATTGATTCATCATTGATATAAATCAAATATACGGATGGGACAGCATATTCTTTCAGCTATTTCTTGGATTGGCCTTTTATTAATTGCTTTCCTTTACTAACTCAGCAGTAAGCACTCTCCCCTTGACAAGTAAAATTATCTGGTGTTAGAGTAAAATAATAAAGTAGGGTGCAACTCAATGGGTTAACCGGACCCATGGCCAGTTAACCCATTAAGTTCCAACACTCTCCCCTTGACAAGTAAAATCATCTGCCGTAATGCTGTTAGACAAAATAAAATAATAAAGTAGGGCACATCAGGGCACAATGCGACTTAATGGGTTAATATAGTTGTTGGGTGTAAGTTGTTTCTCACACAATACTGAATATTTGGTTGGCATCCAGTCTGCCCATTTCATTGCTGTTATCCAACTTTTTAGCCGGCTGGGATTGGTTATAGGAAATCTAAATAGTGTGAAGGGAAATATGTATTTTTGGTTCACTGATGTGAACAAAACTCAATTTTTTGACCTTCAACAGGTAAGGACCTCTATGAAAGTTATTGTCAACATGCATATATATATATATATATATATATATATATATATATATATATATATATATATATATATATATATATATATATATATATATATATATATATACATATATATAGACTCCTAACACAGACACCAAAACAAGAAGTTCTTTTGGTCTAATGTTCTTTTACTAAAACTGTAAACAGTTTTATATTGTAGGCAACAAGCTCAAAACTACATTTGGTGTCATTATTGTATTTACAAAACAAATTGTTTTTATGCTATTAAAAGCTGTCTTATTTTAATAGTCTTGTACTATTCTGTTTATATGAAGTATGTTATAGTGTACAAATATACAATGTGTGTTTCGTAGACCTACTTATGGAAGGACAAGCGATTGGGAATACCATCTTTTAAATCTCCACGTCTGGGGAATACCATCTTTTAAATCTCCACGTCTGGCCTTGCAGTTACACTCAGCACACAAAACAGGCCGAGATTCAAGGCATTCTTTTCGATAGAAAAACAGATTTTTTAGAATAGAATGCCCTAGAATTTTCAGATGAAAATACTGTATTTTCGTCGAAATAACAATGAAAGAACAAAATAAATAATAGTAACTTTTGGAATAATCAGATATATGTTACATCACTTTAGAAAAACTGGTAAAAGACTGAAGGAATACACAGGATAAGAAACCAGGCCGGCAGTTTCGCGCCATTTTCGTCTTTGCCCATTCTTGCCCGGTTGCATTTTAAACTGTAAATCGTACTAATTATAACAAATATACATCCAAAACTTTCACACCAGTTAGTTCTTCCAAAAAAAAGGTGGTTCAACGGAATCGGAAACAGTAGGACGACGTAAAATGCAAAAAACATGGTTTTTCCCTATCTCGCTCTATGATTTTTGACCGGTTGAGCCGCCATCTTGGATTTTCAAATTTGGCGCGCCTCTTCAGCCGAGTCAGCAATCTAGGACTCCTATATCTATGGTTTAAACCAGTGATCTCTAAGAGAACTGGAACGATAACTTGGCGGCCATCTTTAAAGCCACTCATGATGGCCGCCATGTAGGTATGGAGTGGAAAATACACCGCCTAAAAAATGTCTGTTTTCGACCACTAAATAACTGTATTTCAACAAGCAAAAAAGCTATAAACTTTTAACTATACCTGAAATTTAATACAAAACATGTTTCCAGAACGTAGAGCAGTTATAAAGTTCTTTTTTCGGTTGTCAAAGTGCGAAGTTTTGTTCGGCACGTTCAAACTTGTGTAATATTTTGAATATCAAGCTGTTATCCAGGAAGTTTTTGCTGTTAGTGGATGTAAAATACTTAGACCTATCCAGGAAACCAGGTTTGAATCTTTTAAGTTGAAGCCTTTTGATAAAAAAAGTGCTTTTTCTTGCTGATTTTCGCTCAAAAACAAACTTTTGACTGAATTTCCCGCTCCTCGAAACTCTCCCCAGTCCTTTTGAAAGATAATTTATTGCTCGCCGAGCTCGCGAGAAGCGCCATCTTGGCTTCGGGCAAGTATGGGCATGTTTACCTGCAGTTAGCGTTCCAGTGTTATTACAGTTCACTGGTTCAAACCTGCCCGCTTGACGTCATTGCATATAATTATGACGTATGTTAATGATGAGTCATTACGCACCCTCCTTCCACCACACTCCACCACACTCCACCGCAAAAATCCGGCCCGATCGGTACCTATATTACTACTCAGGTCTAAAGTAACATCTAAAAAATTTACAACGTTCAACTTTACTTCGGTGGTGATTTTCAGGTCAAATTGCACAAAAATTTGGTGTAGCTCTTTTCTAGTTTTGTCTTGTAAACGGGAGGATTTGCTTTTTATAATAGCCAAACCATCATCTCTATCAAGGCCGATGTTTTCCTTGCCAAACCTCTTATACCTAAGTGATTTAAAATGAAAAGGCCTACCAGCTCACAAATTTCAGCGCCGTCGAAACTACCCATGGTGACGTCAAATAAACTGTTGTCCATAATTTGCCGTTGCCGAAAAGTAGAGATTTTCTTGCATGTTTTATTATTGAAATATCGTTTTCGGTGATATGAGTCAAATCCGAAGCCCAGGCCAATGCTTCATTTAAAAGTTTTTCAGAAATGGATGGGTAAAAATTCACAATGTCAAACGAAATAAAACTGTGCCTGTCTTTCATATTGCGAAACCATGAAATTACTTGTTGCGTATTTCTCCATTGATTTGAATTTAGATTTTGTTTTAAATTGGAATTGATTTTATCTAAAATAACATTACTTAGTGTTTCCGGATTCGCTTTTTGCGGGCCTGATTAATTAGTCGGCATTTTGGATTGTTTTCGAAATTTTCTTTGTGATCTTTTAAACATATAAATGCTTTCGAAACATATTCGGAAATTAAAAGAAAACAATCAGGATTATACCATCAAATGGTCAATTTTAAAACACGCTATTTCGTACACATGCAGGGAGATCAAAACGCTGCAATTTATGTTTGGAAGAAAAATTTTGCATTTTGAAAGACATAAACAAAGACAATTTACTCAATAAAAGAAGCGAAATTTTCGGCAAATGTCGTCACAAAAACCGGTTTTGAGTAAACAAGGTCGTTAACAAAACCTAATGACCCAAGCATGCATTGTTTCACCTAAGCATTGTTTCGCCTACACGCATTTCGCACATTCTTTCGATAGCATAAAAGCAACCCAGCCTAGTCCCAGTCGTTCTGAAGCAAGCGCGAGAACATGTGGATGTAGTACGAGACTGGGACCTAGGTGTGACGTCACCGCTCAAGGTGCTTCAGAACGCCTAGCAGATTTCAGTATTTTTAATACGGCGGAAAATTTATATATACATGCAAGTAACCTTTTAATAATAAATACGACAATGTTCGTTCATCATGTATACATGTTCGATGTCTACATAACCAAATCAAACTGTATTAAAAATGTGCTCAAGTTGAGCACATTTTTAATACAGTTTGATTTGGTTATGTAGACATCGAACATGTACATGATGAACGAACATTGTCGTATTTATTATTAAAAGGTTACTTGCATGTATATATAAATTTTCCGCCGTATTAAAGCTCAACTAAAAAAAATTATATACAAATTTACGATACCGAGTTTGAGCAATCGGTGATGTTATTTATGTACTCGCAAGTTGTGACAACACTAGACCATACTGGTATACACAACTACGCTTTCTACTTGACAGGTTTAAATTGCTGAGGAGATTGGAAATATTTGCCTGACATGACGGTGTTGTCAAAACATTCTTAGTCGGAGACTCGGCATAATTTTCAAGCTTCTAGATAGCATTTAATATGACTATATATCTTAATAAACACGAGTCATTGCATTACGACTTAATTTTTCTATTGTAAATATCTCGGCGAGTATTTACCCCCCCCCCCCTTTTAAATAAAACCCACCATTGAAATCCTCACAAAATAACCTTTCGAACGGGTGGTCAAGTGCCGTCAAAACATTACACAAACCGAAACAATCATATATTTACTCACCGCTTGGCCAAAGATTCTGAATTTCATATTATTATTATTATTATTATTATTATTTAAGCTTATTTATTCACGGTAGCCTTTCAGAAGCCTGTTTTTCAAAGGGCCGTGCACACTTACTATAAACTATTATAAGAATATTAAAATTATTAACTAAAAAAAAAACAATCATGCATAATATACTCTATTTACATCGGCAAGGCATAATGCTTTGATATGGTTTGGCAGAATGACCTCCCAATTCAAAAACACAAGCCATCTATTAATTTTTTAAAAGAACAGATGGAAGTTTCAGGTATTTCCGTAATTGGAAGTTTTTCCATTAACATTTGGTTCCATGAAACTGCTCCTCTATAGGAGAAGCTTCGTTTTAAAAAATTCGTCTTAGGGTTTGGTAGGTAAAGCTTTTGATGATTATTTCGTAGTTGGTAGGTTTGGTTAACGGAGACATGAAACATCTGTGTTAAGTATTCTGGAGCCATACCCCTAAGTGCTTTAAATGTCATCACTAATTCTCTCTTTTTTAGTATTGATTGTATTTTTGTCCATTTGAGCATTTGAAAAATTTCAGAAGATTGTTCTTCTAAGCCCGAACTGGTAATGATCCGTGCTGCACGCTTTTGCAATTTCAGCATTTTTTCGGCGTGCATTTTATTACCATCATACCATATAGTTGAACAATAGTTGAAATAGGGGAGTACAAATGACTTATACATCATCTGTAGTGTTGCTTGAGGTACGTAAGGCTTCACTTTTCGTAACATAGCTATAGAACAAGAAATCTTTTTAGTTTGTTTTTCAACATGTTTGGTCCATTGTAATTTATCGTCTATTTCTAAGCCTAAGACCTTTTTCTTGTAAACCCGTTTAATTATATGATCTCTAATTTTAATAATAGGGTCATTTCTGATCTGTTTTAAGCGCTTTCCTGAGCCGATTAGCATATACTCGGTTTTTTCTTCATTTAATGTTAATTTGTTTGCATCTAACCAAGTCTTAACGTTTTGGATTTCCATCCCCAATTTGTGTTCAATTTCAAAAGAAGACTCCCCAGTTGCAGTTAAGCTTGTATCATCAGCAAACATGGCGGCTTCAGTTATTTCTAAACTATTTGGCAGATCATTTATATAAATTGTAAACAGAAGTGGTATCCAGATAATCTTGAATATCTCTTGAACTTTTCGTCATTGTCTGAGCGGCTATATGTGTAAAATACTCTTTATATTCAAGCGCTTTCGTGTACAAAATTTCGTTTGAATACGGCGAGTAGAAATATTTATTTTGAATTTTTCAAGG